TTCGCGAAGAAGCCTTATAAAGAACGGCTCCAAATAGTCCAAAAGGCCAAGGTGTGCTATAGATGTTGCGGCAGTCACTTCTCCAAAGACTGCAAGGAGAAGGTGAAATGTCAACACTGTAATAGCCTCAAGCATTGCTCTGCAATGCACAACTTCGACTCTACTCAATTCAAAGCAAAGTCAAAATCTTCTGTCAAAGAAGAAACTAAAGATGACCAAAAGCCTACAGAACCTCAGGTAGCTCTCAAGGCTCCTGCTGTTGCCTGCACCAAGCTATGCCAAAATAGCAACAAGCCCAGGATTTGTCACCCAATCTGCCTGGCAGAGGTGTATCCAGACAAGCAGCCGTGGAACAGAAAAAAGGTCTACGTCGCCTTGGACGCCCAAAGTGATGCTTCTCTTGCAACCCCAGAGTTCTTTGACATGTTCGACCTTCACAGCAAGACAGTGGAGTACACCATATCCACTTGTTCAGGAAAGAATAAGATGTATGGCAGAGTTGCGACAAAGTTCAAAATTTCGCCTTTTGGACAAAAGGCCAGTTATGAACTTCCTGACCTTATAGAATGCAGCCTGATCCCCAGAAACAAATATCAAATAGCCACAAAGGAGGTGGTACAAGCCCATCCTCATCTCAAAGGCATCCAAGATCTAATTCCAGCTTTAGACTTGGAAACAGACATTGTCATGCTTATCGGCGCAGATTGTCCCATGCTGTTCCGTGTTAGCAACCAGATTGAAGGTCCTAAGGGATCCCCCATAGCTCAGCAGTTGCCTTTACGATGGACGGTGTTAGGTCCGGTCTGCCTGAACAAGATGTTCCAGCCTGTCACAAAAAGGCCTTCACTAATGCAAGGATGTGCCAGCCACATTTCAGTTTGTTGCCAGGGAGTAATGCCTGATTACTCTTCCATCTTCGAAGTCACAGAGAGAGATGAGCAAACAGCCTTCTCTAAAGATGAACAGAAGTTCCTTGAGATGATGAACAACCAAGTCACTCAAGACCCTCAAGGTAATTGGATCGCGCCTTTACCTTTCAAGCCAGAAAGACCGTCTCTACCCAACAACAGAGATGTTGCCCTTCATCGTCTTCTGTCCTTAAAAAGAAGGATGTTAAAGGATCCCAAGGTGAAAACCCAGATCACCCAGTTTGTGGAAGACCTCTTCATCAGCAACTACGCTGAACCAGCCAGTGCATGTGCAGAGGGAGAAGAGCAGTGTTTCCTGCCATACCA